AATGGGCCTGTTTCTGGCTTCCAGAGAGCCTCCGGAGCCCAGGGAGGCCATTTTCGCCTTCCCAGAGGCTTGAGGAAAGCCTCCGGAGCCCAGTGAGGGCAACCCCCCCCCCATCATGCAGGAGGCTGACTAGGCCATGCCCTTCCAACAACTGGGGATTGCTAAAATTACTAAAAATTTTGAAGCCCACCCCTAGCCCAAGGACTCAACTCTGAGCTCCAAATATTCTCTTCCAAAAATATTTGTGATTTCACATATGCCCATTTATCCAAGATCTGTGCTTGTGCTTCTTTGTTTTAAAATTTTGGATATTTTCTTAGGGCGTCTTGGTATACGCTTGCTGTATTTTCTTTGTTCGCTCTTCTGTGCCATGCCATGGCATTTAGGGAACTGTTCTTTCTGTTCTTGGCTCTACAAAGTGGTCTTCAACTCTGGGAGACAGTTGGCAAACTTTGCTGTATTAGGAACTGCTTTTCCCAGTTAGTGAATTTTTAAGATTCACTGGGAATCTAAAAGGAGTCAAAATGCCTGGCCTGTTTTAAAAAGGCTGGAGCCGTTTGTGAGCAGGTTCTTCCTCCTTTCATATCCTCGCATCATTTTGCTTCCTTTTGCCATGCCCCTGTTCTCTTCTAGTTGCTCTCCATCCCCTTTTTCAGTAATTTTCCTTTCTGTTTTCTGTATCTTGTACAGAGGTGGATTTATGAACTGTACAGATGCAGTTAGATAACTCAACAAGATGCCCTTAACAAAGAACATTTATTGGTTCATCAGGTGTCCTCACAACTCACATTTGTGATGAAGTTCTTCTTTAATGACCAATCCTTTGTATATCTGTCTTGTAGTAAAAGATGGTTATCTCCTAACCCATCTCGTAGCGATGGAAAGCAGCTGCCATGAGTTAGAGAGTTCAGGGAAAAGTGAGCAAAAACTCCCCCAACCCATGGAGGGTCAAACTAGTGACCAATCAGTATTACAGATGTGGCCACGTGGTATGAACTACATTTCCCAGGATATCTTTAACTACATTTACCATGATGCATTCCTTTAAGGGGACAGCTCATAATTCCTAAGTAACTATCCAATTCCCATAGACTGGCTGGGACAGCACACTCAGTGCCCAGCCTTATTGTCCAAACATTAGAGCCCTACAGACAGGAAAAAAAAGAAATCTCCCTCAGGGACTGAAATATCAATAAAGGTTTCTTGGCAAGGGAATTTCATGACTGCAAGTGTACAATTTACATTCTGCTGTACCCTGATTAAGAGCTTGCATTTTGTAAGTGTGTGTGTGTGTGTGTGTGTATGTGGTATAATCACTAAGGTCATGATTCTGATCCTAACTCATTCTTATAAGACAATCCTTTCTTTGGGATTTCTGAAACATTACATATGATCAATGCAAAATAAACCCAATTGCTTTCTTAATTTTTTGCTACATTAAAAAAGTATAGTACTTTAACTTATTTAAATTGCAACTGTGAAAATAGAGGGAACTAGTATGATAAATAACTGACAGTTTAATTATCTTCATGTGGTCGGTCCAGTTAACATAAACTGCTGGTAGAATGGAAATCACTGCAGTTTATTACCCTGTTGGATTACTTTGTTTCCTTGTAATTTTTTGTTGTATGAAAGCTAATACTTAATATATGATCGCTTTCTTTTCATTATAAGAAAATAAATCAACACATATACATTATCTTATGTAGTGGCATTTTGCCATCTTTCTCACCAGCTGAAAAAAATCTTCAACTACTTTTGGCATTATAACTTTAACAGTTAATAAGCTGCCTGTATTAATTCCTAAACAACCCTTGAGTGTTTTAAGATTCAATATGCCTAACTAGCTATGGTTATGCATTGCATTCAGATCCTGAAGGTATCATGACTCCTTAGTTCCTATAAATGGAAAAAGAAAATAATGTGTGTAAATGATGAATTCAGCTGAAACCTTTGTAATTCTAGGACAAAAATCCAAAATTGCCCGAATAAAGTATTCATGTAACAGACTTCTGTTTATCCTCAAAATCCACTCAGAGGCTCAGGAATCAACACATCTTAATAATATTAGATAAGAAGGAATTGCCACCTATTCTAACAGAGAAAAAAATGATTGTCACTCATCCTGTGCAATTTCCACATTCTATTTCAAATCAGCATACACTTTAGTAATTCTTACAAGCATAGAACACTGTAGATTCTTCAATAGTTTTTATTGTAATATAAAAATAGTTACAAAATTTTTACTTTACAAAGTACTACTGATCCCATATATTCAAATGGATTTCCAAATATTTCTATGGTAATATTGGCAATATCCAAGTTTGCTTTTTATTAAAATTATACTGTTTATTTAATATATAGTACAGCATGCATTCTTTTTGAGATATGGATCACATACAGCCTCTGATATATCAGACTGGTGTTTTTCAGCCTTGGCAATTTTAAGATCTATGGCATGCTGGCTGGGGAATTCCAGATGAAGTCCATACATCATAGAAGTTACCAAGGTCGAGAAACACTCCATAAAACAATCTTTGGTGTCAATAATTCTGCCATGTTAGTTTAAAAATTCAAAATATAAAGGCACATTCTTTCTTTCCCACTGTCTTCTGTAGAGATCGGAGTTTGCAAAGTTTTACATCTTCTACTGTTACCCTACTGAGCATTCAAGCTAATATGCTGAGAAGAACCTTGGCTTCTCTAAAGCTGTTATCATAGAAAATGGCGATGAAGATGTTTGGGATGGGGCTTATCATTTATGGTACAGCAGTTCTCACCTCATATTGAGATATCAACTCATTATTTTCATTTTGGAAGTTGTAATCCCAACTTGTTTGAAAAGGAAGTCTGAGGAAGGCCACTGTTTCCGAAGGTCACTCTTATAATGCCTCACAGTAACACTGTAACCAGCAGCAAAACAGGATAGAAAAGACAATTTCTGGCGCATAAAGTTGGCAGATTAACTGCTTACTTTGTTTTCCTGTCCACAATAGCAAACTAGTCAGGATAAGGACACTGACATGAAATATCTTCTTGTTTTTCTTTCAGAAACTAGGTAGTAATTTTTTGAGATGTCACTAGAATGTTTTAATTTACATTACAAATTAAGAGTAAAAGCCAAATCTATTTAAAAGTAAGTTAAAAGCACTGAGAAAAGAGTACTTTTTAAAAGAATCTGTTTGCTGCTGTTGTTTTGAACTTTTCTCCAAATGAGCTGTAATTGATCATTCAAAAATCTGATTAGCTTCCCTAAAGACCCATTACGTACTCCATGCCATACATTCCAGAAATATTTAGATGGTCTTTTCAAAATGTAATCAAGGATGTGCTGAATATATTTTCTCAATATTGCCTAGAATAAGGTTGTTTCATCGTTTATTCTGTATAGCATAGCAATAGCACTTACTTATATACCGCTTCAGTGCTTTTACAGCCCTGGGTTAGAGTCAGCCTATTGCCCACAACAATCTTGCTCTTCATTTTACCCACCTTGGGAGGATGGAAGGCTGAGTCAACCTGGAGTCTGGTAAGATTTGATCTGCCAAATTGCAGGCAGCTAGCAGTCAGAAGTAGCCTGCAGTACTGCACTCTAACCACTGCGCCACCATGGCTCATCCTCTATAACAATAGCTAAAGGGTATCTCAGTCTAGCTAGTTATTAAACTAAAAAGTAAAAGTAGATGGCATTTTTAGCTTCAATAATTTCTAAATAAATAAATAAAATGCCAGGAATCCTCTATATAAGCCTGTATTTAATGTCCTTCGGAAAATGTAAGCACTAGAGATTTGGCTTATAGCTGGCAGTACCACACAGAGGGTCAGTTTAGGATTAATGATGTCACCTGACACTATAAAAGGAGAATCATGTAGAAGAGATGGAAGAAACTGGGGGTGGAGTGAAAAGGGGGATCAGTCTAGAATCTATATGTAGTCACAAGAGAACTAAGTCCAAGATCCCCCCGCAATGCTGTTGACCCTTATCTACCTCTTACATGTTAGCTAAGAAGTTTCCTGTGAATAGGCTTTTAGCAATAAGTTTAATTGAACCTCCACTGTGGACCTGATCCTTTGCACACTTAATAGATCAAAACATAAAACAAGTAAATTGGACAATCCTAAAACACAGCATTATAAAATGGAGGTTGAATGTCCAAATTATTTTCAGTATTGTATAGTTTTTCTGAAGAAAGCTTGTTGAAATCTAAGCATAAGGTAAATGCTCTTCCTCCTAAAAATAAGTAGCTTATCGAAATGTGTAGTAACTATCATCAGTTCAGAAGAACTAGAATTGAATGCAACAGCTTCAGTTGTTCATTGAGGAAAATGAGATCAGAGGGAAGGCTTGCTCTTTGCCAAACATACACCATCTATTATCCATGAAAAAAATATTTCATTCCCCCCCCCCATTTCAACATTCCTGAATGTACATATGTTGAAATGACATTCTTTAAGAATAAGAGTAGCACAGTTTTAATTTAGTTATATCTAGTTTAGGTTTAGTTAGGTCTAGACTTCAGAGAAACTTCCTATCAGTGAGGACAATAACCAGTGGAACAGCTTTCTTCCAGAAATCATGGGTGCTCCATCTCTGGAAGATTCTAGACAGTCACTTATCTGAAATAGTATAGGCTCTCCTGCTTGTCCAGGGGGCTGGACTAGAAGGCCTCCAAGGTCCCTTCCAGCTCATTCTATTCTTTTCTGTTCTGTTTGAGTTTACACTACATTACCCTTATAATCTGCAATCACTCCAACAAAATATTTAATCCAAATAATGGAGATACTGAATAAAGCCAACATTCATTTAAATGTGGTTGTGCAAAAACAATACTGATTGCCTTATAGCAATAATGTCTATTATGATATCAGAAGATGTGTTTGTATGAGAAGCTGGCACCTATGTGAAAAAAGAAGCTAGACAGGGCAATCAAATTATCACCCACACAACCACTTGCTTTGTCTCTTCCTTCTTTTTCTGGCCACCATAATCATAATGTTGAACTGCAGAGCACATAGTTCTTTCACCAGTGCCAATGGAAAGCAACATCACAAGTCAAGAAATAATGATTAAGAATGAATTGTGGAATCAATCATTCAAGATGGCCAGAAGTTCCATAGTGTTATGGAAACAAGCTTGAACTTGTTTCCATAATAAGTATCAAGGTATTTAGCCATTTTATTCACTGGAGTGCTCTTTTTCTTTATAACTTTCTTCCAATATCTGAAACCTAATTGTTTATTTTGTACTTCCATCAGTCAAAATCAATGAAAAAGTATTTCATGCAGCTAACCTGGTGATAATTTCAGGTTGTTTTTTTTTTTTCAAAATTATCAAGAAATACAGTACAAGTTACCCTAGTGGCACCCTATGAACATAGATATTTCTAAAATTAGTCTTTACTAACACTTCTCATTTATTCAGAAATTCTTTAATAAAGCAAAGTATAATGTGTCGAAGAGCTGGGAGAGAATAGGGTGAGTGAGTTTTCTTCATTGCAAATGTTGTTATATACTTTCTTTACGTAGTTGATCTCTGTCCAACTTCATCAGATTTGGGATTTCTTTTCCTAGCAGCTCCATCACCGTTGAACTCCAAATCTGGATTATGACTGTCATCATCACTGAGTCCTTCTCCAATTCTCTGATGGGCTAGGAAAATGTGTTCGAGTGGGCGCTTCCATTGAGGCCTTGTAGCTATCCACAAAATTACAGCCCCATAGGCGACAATCAGGACACCCAGAGCATTGACAAAAATACCTTCTTCTGGGAAACTGCTATAGGGAGGTTTTTTCCTTCAGGAAAAATAAGTTAAAATTAAGGAAACAATTAACAATAGTCAATTAGTAAATGTCATTGTTAAAAACATTAGTGACATCCAAATAAATACTTACAGACTAAAAAAAAGTTTTTCTGTAATTCCCATTAGGGCTGTGGCAATCACTGTTCCAAAGATGAGAAGACCGGAATATATGTGTATTGACATAACAGCTGTCCGAAGAGAAGGGGGGGCAAAGGGAAGTAGGAAGACCACAAAGCCTAAAACAAGCTGATATATAGATAAAACTTAGTAAACGGCAACCGTATACCTTATTTTAAAAACAAACATTGAAAATAAATCTTTATGAGGCAGTGCCAAACTTGATTCTTAAATTATCTGCTGAAGTCTTTTAAAACCCACAGGATATTTTATATCACCCATCACAACTTGTGTACCTTTGGGAAGTTTTCAGATAAAAAGGTAAAAGGTATAAAAGTTATAGTTAAAAACGAGCTAAAAATCAATTAAGAAAAAGTTAAAAGGGAAAACTGTGTAAGCTAAAAGGCAGAGAACCTTTAGCCCAGTGATAACTAACCTGGTTTATGAGACACGGGGGGGGGGGGGGGGGGAGAAACAGGGTCACAGGTAACTGTAAATTACGTATGCCAGAATTGGCTTCATGCAGGGCAGTGTCCAGTCTGTCGCCTCTAATGAATCCTTTGAAGTTTGGCTCGAGAATCATGATTTAATTAGAGCAACTGGTAGAATCCTGACACAGAGGCTATTTTCTTTATTATTATTATTTTTAAAAATCTTAGTATTTCTTTTATTTATCTTATATCTTTATTTTTCTATTTCTTTCATTTATTTTAACACAGTAAATGTTTATTTGGTGTTAAGTTAATATCTGTCAGTAGTATTCCCCACTAATTTTAACCATCTTAAAATGTTACCAGGAAGAACAGGTAGTCCTCGACTTGTAAGTTTATTTAGTGACCATTCAAAATTACAATGGTACTGAAAAAAGTGATTTATGACAGTTTTTCACAACCATTATAGTAACCTTGTGGTCATTTGATCAAAATTCAGTTGCCTGGCAACTGGTTCACATTTACAATTGTTGCACTGTCCTGGGGGCATGATCACCTTTTGTGACCTTCTGACTAGCGAAGTCAATGGGGAAACCAGATTCACTTAACAACCGAGTTAGTAACTTAAAAACTGCAATGATGCACTTAACAACTGTGGCAAGAAAGGTCATAAAATGGGGCAAACTCACTTAACAAATGTTTCACTTAGCAACATAAATCTTGGGCTCAAATATGGTTGTAACTCAAGGACTACTGTATGGCCATTTTTATCTACAATTTTTTTTGGCCCATTGCAGAGAATGTGAATTTTTAGACTGGAGAGGGGCTTGACGCTAAAGAATTAGGAACACATCCACAGAATTCAGTGATTAGTTGTGAGTGGATAAAGGACTACGTTTTTATATTCCAATCAAGCCCCCTGGCATGCAGTACAGATAAAAAGAAATAAATTGTATAGTGTGTATTAAAACATTATTTTGATTATTTTGATATGCCAGACTGCAAAATCTTGCATCTTATGAGCCATGGAATCAGTAGAAACTCCCTAAAAATACTGTGGCCTTTTGGGTCACAATCCTGAAACTTGGGAATGGCTACCAGTGCCAAATCTACTGCCCCCTTTTAAAAAATGTGATTTTTTTTTTTTACTATAATGAGCAATTAGTTGCTTATTGGGGCAAACTGCTCAGGACTACAATCATCCTTTTAGACTCTATCCTCTTCTCTAAGTGAATTTAAGGAAGAAGTAAGGATGTTTTGGGACTCCAAATTCTGTAGAAGTAAACTACATTCCTCACCATTACCATGGAGCTCTTCTAAAGGGTAACGGCTTCCCCAACTTATATATAAAATTTTTACAATAATGATATACATTTACTTTCTTCCCCACTATTAAAAACAAAGTCTGAACATATTTCTAAGATACTCTATACAAATTCTATGAAAAAAAAATCTACAAAGGTTGTATAATGAAACACCTGAATATAGAAAGAACAGCTTTTATTAAATTCTCAAAAATTTAATAAAAGCTGGAGAACTAAAAAGTTCCTTACTAAGAATACTCAAAATAGAAAGTGGTTTTGTCTTCTGAGCTTTCGGGCTTTGCTGGAGTCCATCTTGGGGGAACTTCTCTAGCGCAAGTCTGAAAGTTCAGAAGACAAAACCCCAATCCTGGTCGCCAACCCAAATTGGATCCTATAACATTATCCTGAGATATGTATATTCTCCTTCATTCGACAAAGGTTAATTTATTGAGTTGTAAGGTTTATGTCTAAGAATTGCAAAATAAAAAATCCCTTATTAAAATTAATGTACACACAGCACATTTTTATTGAAGTTAAAATAAACTTATTCTCTGTTTAAGTATAGTTTATAAATGACATCTAACCTGTAGAGCATAAAGAATTACAGCAGTCAGTCCAATCCAGCTGTGTAGACTGTACATGTTAGGAATCTTCTGACCATTATGGAAATCGAAAACAGCCACCAGGGAAATAATAGCAAGTATCAGAGCAATGGTATGTAACCCTGCATGGATTAATTTCATAAAAAATTTGCTGCATTTCCAGGTCCAGGGTAACCTGTATACAATAATTGCTGAAATTGGGAAATAAGAAAGAATTCTGAAGTTAAAACAAAACAAAACAAAACAAGCTTTATTAGGAACGTTAAAACTATTCTTGCCATATGACACTTTTGAGAATTTCCTTTAACAAATAGGTCATGCTTTCTCACTTTACTGTTTATCCCTTTTCTGAGGGAAAAACATTCAGATTGAAACTAAAATATTGACACTCCCCTTTTTAAAAATAATCTTGTTTTGGAAGAAAAAGGGCATATCTCAGAGACACAGTGATAAAAGTTTTCTACCTAAGATTTTGGAGACTGACTGGCAATCATGCTAGATGGCCTGACTCAACACATTTAACTAAAACTTTTTTTTTAATTAAAATTCCTGAATCTAAACCAGATTCAATAAAGTTGGCTCTTGCTTATATATTTTGCTTACAAATCTTGAACTGTTGGGATTGACAAACCAGAATTTCCCGTTGTGACAATTTACTAAAATTGTTTGGGTGAAATCAGCTATGTGCACATTGGAAATCAGACAGCACATCATCTTTCATAGAACAACAACTCTGTTAAAAAAAAAACCTGGTCCACATTTCACCTTAAAAAGTCAGAAATAGGCACTTTCTGTCTGCATGATAACCTCGCTGGACTATGCATAGTAAGTAAATGGCTACATTCTAGTAGTGGATAGGGGCAAAAGAATTTTGAGGGACTTTAGGGGAGAAATAAACGGCTTAAATTTCTGCAAATTTCCTTAAGACAACATCGTGAATATGCAAAAATAGAAGAAAAACTGAGTTTACTCATTGAGAGGAGAGTTCTGGGGGAGGGAGCTTCAGAAAGGAATCTGATGAATCACTGTCATTCTTCCACTAAAATATACAAGGGTGAGGGTGGGGTTACTTTTTTACTCCACTTTATTATTTTTATAAATAACTTAGGGTGGCAAATATCCCTAATATTCTTTCCTCTTATTTTCCCCACAACAATTCTGTGAGGTATCTTACGGTATCTCTGGACACCTGCATAACTGGATAGAAGCATTCCTGTCAACAGACAACAAATGGTAAAAATTGGGAGCGTCCTATCAAATTCTGTACCTGTCAACAGTGGTGTCCCCCAAGGCAGTGTTCTAGGACCACCAACCCTCTTCATACTCTTCATAAATGACCTCTGTGATCATATTAAGAGCAACTGTGTTCTCTTCGCTGATGATGTAAAGCTATTCAACACCACCAACAATACTGCTACCCTTCAAAAAGATCTTGACTATGTATCAGAATGGTCAAACAAATGGCAACTGCAAATCTCAACAAATAAATGCTATGTCCTACATACTGGCAAAAAAGAACAACAGAAAATAAAATACAGGCTGAATAGTCAAGACCTTGTTGATGATCCAAACTCTGTCAAGGTCCTTGGAGTACTCATCTCTAATGATCTAAGTGCTAGAGCCCACTGTAACTACATAGCCAAAAAGGCATTAAGAGTTGTTAACCTACTCTTATGTAGCTTTTTCTCTGGTAATATTACACTAATAACTAGAGCATACAAAACATTTGCTCAATCAATATTTGAATACAGCTCATCAGTCTGGAACCCACATTACGTATCTGATATTAACACAGTTGAGAAAGTCCAGAAATATTTCACAAGAAGAATTCTCCACTCCTCTACTCGTTGCAGAATACCTTAGGCCACCAGACTTGAAATTCTAGACCTAGAAAACCTTGAACTACGCCGCCTTTGGTTGGATCGAAGTATAGCATATAAAATCATACATTGCAATGTCCTACCTGTCAATGAATACTTCAGCTTCAACCATAACAAGAGCACACAATAGATACAAACTCAAGATTAATTGCACCAAACTTGATTGCAACAAATACGACTTCAGCAACAGAGTGGTCAATGTCTGGAATACTCTACCTGACTCTGTGGTTTCTTCACCAAACCCCCAAAACTTTAACCTTAGACTGTTTGCTATTGACCTCACCCCTTTCCTAAGAGGTCTGTAGGGGGCTTGCATAAGCGCACCAACGTGCCTACCGTCCCTGTCCTATTGTTTCTTTTATTTTTTTTATTTTTCTTATATGTATCCATATATTCATAACTATGTTTTTTACTTATACCTATTATCTTGTGAGCAATTGACAAAAATAAATAAAATAAAAATAAAAAATAAATAGGTGAGTTGGGCTGAGTGACAGAATAAAATGTGTATTTCATGGAGCCCGTATGTTACAGAAGGACCAGAGTACATTGTTTTATCTATCTTCTAATTAGGCCAGTAAAAAAATTGAAGAGAATTTAGCAGCAGTGCATAAATACATTGGTCATAATACATGAGTACGTAGGTAGATATTAACATTAAGATAAGCTTCTTGGTAACAACAAGGAGCAAAGTGTTCTATCCAGACTGATATGTATTTTCTAAGAGCTATATCTTTAAATATTTACTACCATGCATGTCGCTTGTGCTATAGAAGTCATAAATAAATCTGTCCCCAAATGGAATATATTGGAAAAGGACTCAATGTCTATTTCCCAATGCCCATATGAAATATAATATTGACATTTGACACTCGAACTGAAGGGATAATTTTACGCTAAAATCTTTAAGAGGCTGATAGAAAAATTGTGGTTTCAAATACAATTTGTATTTTTCTACCAAATCATATTTTGATAAATCAGCCATTTGCCTTTTATTAGCACCACTGCAGTAAGTAAAGAAGCATAACACAATTTACAACTATCCATTTATCAACTGCTTGAAGTTACAATGTCACTGAAAAAAAATGACTTGCAACTGGTCCTCGCTCTTAAGACTGTCATGGCATCACTGTGATCACATGATCAAAATTCAGGCACTTGGAAACCAGCAAGTATTTATGATACCAGTAGTTGCCGCATCCTGCAATCATGTGATTACTATTTGCAACCTTCCCAGACAGCTTCTGAAAAGCAAAGTCAACGGGGGAAGCCAGATTTGCTTAATGCCATGCAATTCACTTAAAAAATGCAGTGATTTGCTTAACAACTGTGGCTAAAAAGGTTATAAAATCGGGCACGACTCACTTAAGAACCATGTTGCTTAGCCACAAAAATTATGTATTCTTAATATGAATTTTTGTAAGCATTCATAAAATATTTATGTAATTCTGCCCCATGTGTCCTCCAATACTCATAACATTTGAACATTTAGAGTATCCTTTCATAGGGTGATCTCGCCAAAATATACTATATCATAGCAGAAGTTGACACTAATAAAAACTGGAATCACAAGTTTTCTTAAATAGTAGCACCTTGGCTGAACTGAAAATAAACTGTTACAAAAAAAACCTACTTAGCCATTTTTTCCATTCTCTTGTTTTTTACAACCCAGGAGTCCCTTTGTTTTCCCAATCATGCTATGCACTTTTTCCTTCCATTAACTTGTGCAAATAGCTTCTATTATAGAAATATGGCACTATGTTTAATACTTAAGAATTATATATTTACAGTAATCCGCTGTATAGTATGATAGTGTTATAAACTCAATCCCCTTCTGTCAACCCTCAACAAATTTATTCCTATATGAATTTATAGTGTATTTGTTTTTTAACAGTACTTATAATTTACCCCAGTTCCCACAGACCTGTATAGTGTATAAAAACAAATAGAAACCAAAGCAAACCCTCTCCCCCCCCCAACTTAAGTATCACAATAGTCCCCAATCTGAAATCAAGGATAAAACACACCTGCCCAGTTATTTACATCACCACAGGCTTGCAATAGTTTGCAAGTTTTTCCATCCAAATTATTTTACTGGCATGGATAATGTACAGGTACAATAATATTAGGAGCAACATACCAGATATACAGTAGATATTGTTTATGTAACAATGGGAAACCAAAATAAAATCCAGTTGAATAGAGAGAAAAAAATCCCTTAAGAATGTTAACTATTGCCAGCATATCTTCTTAAAGTGCCATTCTAACCCCCAATGAATGAATGTGTATGTGTGTGTGTCTGTATAGAGAGAAAAATAAAGATGAGGCAATGATAGGATGGGACACCTGATGACTATATTTGAGAATATGCTGTGGACATTTTTCATAAGTAGCTGCCATGGTGACATAGCCACTGGCAGCACTCATATTCACCACAAAGCAAACTGCCATTTTTTGGTTCCTCTTTATCCTGAGTATGCACACTCCTACCTCTCTTTGTATTTGTTTCTGGATAGATGAGTGTAATTTCATACAAAACTGCAACATACCACATTCCTTTTCCAAAAATATCTGATTTCCAAATGTGTTTTGTAAATGAATATAACTGGGGGGGAGGGGCATTGTGCAGCAAGTTAGGAGAAAGAATCAATTCAGATCTGGCTGTGAGCGCCAATGGGCAAGGTATAAAGTTTCCAGTGCCTGGCATATTGCACACTCTAGTTTAAAAGATTTTGCAGTCACACCTTCTAACAGGTGAATCATAAATTGCACACTGATCCCTCAATGAACAGAAATGGATTTGTTAAAATTAAGCACACAACTCTTCTTACAGTTTGCTTTTACTTTTAAAATCTCTCATATTTTTCTCTTCTGGACTCTGAAGATCTAACAACTCCCAGCTTGTACAATTAATTTGCAAGTCCAAATCTGATTTCCTATACTTATCAGACATTATAAACCTCATATAGTATCATTATACAGTATGTGTATTAATTTTTAGGTTTTTTTTTTCCTACTAAGATTTTCTACCATTGAGACTTCTTTCTTTCACCAGTCATATTACTTTACCAAGTAAAGTCCCCAGCTGGGTTTTCCTCCCATTATAGTATTAAATCTATTTCAAATAACACAATTCTAGCATTCAGTACAAGATGATTATTAATTAAAAGACATTCTACAGATGTGATTCCTGCATCATCAATGAAATAAAATTACTTCATGAACTAAAACTAAAATGGACAAATATTTATTTTAAGACAATTTTACAGAAACTGATATAAGTGCTAATCATCAGAACACAATCAGTAACCCAGACACTGCGGTTTCTTTTGTACCATCCCGATTAGTCACACTTGTAGCAATCTTCCTCCTCCCCGCCTGTGCTGCCCAGACAGACCACCGCCCTTATTTACAATTGTTTGTCAACTACCTAGCATTTTCGAAATAATCCAAAGAAACCACGAGTGCGTTTGTGTTTTTCAAGTCTGGTAAGGCGTCAGTGAAACAAGTCGCCGCAGAGAATTAACGGTTCCAAAGCCATTGCTATTAAAAACGCAAAGTCACTGAGGGGAAAAAAAAAAAACACCAGGGAAGCCTGAATACCTCACGCCCTTCTTGCTCTGGACGAGAGTTATGATCAATTATACGGGTAAACAGAAAAGGGCCCAAGAAAATCATATGCGCGTCGTGACAGCCCGCTTTAGGAATCCGGCTGGCAGTTCTGCCACACCTCTTAAGTGTGTTTACCCAGTTGGGTAATGAGGCGTCTGCAAAGCAAACTCAAGAGACCCCCAAGGACTCCCCAACTCCCAATTCCAACTGCAACACTCAAGTTACTCCTTACGTTGGACGCAATTGGAGCGATGCTCGCTTTCTCGCTAAAAGGGGCGCCGACAGGCACCGTTCCCGGGTGAGCGGGTTTGGAGAGAGCTTGCTCGAGAACCAAGAAAGCGGAACGGGGGTGGGGCGGTGGGGAGAGGCAGAGCGAGAGGTCAGCCAAAGCAGGAGGAATTCCTGCAACTCTTTGCGGGTTTCCCCTCGTCTTGGGAAAGGTCCAACTCCACGGCCAGCGACGAGAGCGAGCTGGCTCACCTTGCAGTTGCGATCCTAAACTTGCCACCGCAGCCCTCGCGAGCGACGGCTTGCGACCCCAGCCGCCTTTTGAAGTTGCAGTGCCAACCCGGGGCTGGAAAGCTGACGAGGCCTGTCAGTTTGCCAGAAGAAGCCGTCACACACACACCCCCCCCACCCCCCACGGGAGCTAACGGACCCGCATACTGTGGAAGTTTTACTTCTATGGGAGTTGCCGCCTTCCCGGGGGGGGGGGGGGGGGGAAATAAATAAATAAATAAATAAAGCCCAGGAGCCTCTTCTCGCGACCTCCTCCCTCCCCACTCCCGGCCCCGATCGCTCGGCTGGCCCTCCAAACCCTTCTCCACCCACCCCGTCCTCGTTACGCACCGATCCCTTGGATGAACACGAAGCCCGCGATGATGAGGAGCGGGTGCCAATTGAACTCGGCCGAGTCCCCGTTCCAGCCGAGCCCCCCGCGGTAGTGGAGGACCCAGACCAGGGCGAAGACGACGGAGAGGAAGCCGAGCAGCAACGCGGAGGCCAGGAAGGCCAGGAAAAGCTTGTAGCCTTCCATCTTCCACCACACCAGGACGCAACTGCGGAGGACCCAAACAAACTCGGGAACGGGGCGGAGACGGGAGCCGGACCTCTCGGCGTGGCGCGCCCTCCTCCTTTGTCTCCTGAAGGGAAAGAAAGAAAGGGGGTGTGTGAGAGAAAGCCAAGCGATTCCTCCCACTTGGACGGGGCTGGACGTTCAAGGCACCGGGCAGGGACTCTCAAGACTCGCTCCTCTGCTTTCTCGTCCTTACCCGCTGCTTCTGTTTTTTTGCGCCTCTTTCCTCCCCTCCCCGGACTCGAAAACAACGGAACTCAAAATTTACGCTCCTTAAATTGCTCTGGCTTACGAACCATTAGGCTCTCGAGGCGTTTTTTTCTTTTCTTTTTTTTCGGAAGCTCCCTGTGCGGATATTGGTAAACCCGAAAGCAGCAGCGTTAAGCTCAAACCTGCCATCGAGGCGGCTTATCCTGGATGCCGTTTGGATTTCAGCTTCAAAGACCCACCTGTCTCCTCCCCGCGGGGAACTCTCGTTGACTGGATTCCACCTGTATCCTGAGCTTTCTCGAGGCAACGCGAAAGTTTTAGGGTTGCCAGTGCCAAAAAGAACGTATTTGCATTCGTTTTTAAGCTCTTCAAAGCTATCATACTTTTTTCCACTGGATGCAGCATGGACGTTATGGGGGCCTAGGGAGTATATTGTGCTTTTTCCCCTTGTGATGCAGACTTGTCAGCCTTTTCTGGGATGCTATTTCTGCCCTGACATTCTTCTAGCATGTAGCCAGAGAAATCCTTCCACACCTTGTAAGTATTCGGTGTAGGATTAGGGCCCAAAGTTGGCCCTGTTTGCTGTGGATATTCATAGATACATACCATACTGTTCCCTTTTGGGGTGAGCATTACTATTCCCAGCACAGAAAAAGAGTTAATTAATAAGTGTAGGAATAAAGAGCATGAAATTTTAAAAAAATTAAAGGAAAATCTGGTTTACATCAACAGAGCTTGCTACACTTAATGCCTTTGTATCCCTGCTTCCTTCTCATTTGTAAATTTTTTCTCTTTAGTTTTAGCTCTTTTTTTGCTTTGTATTTCATCAGTTCCAGCCATTATTTTCAGTTTTCTACTTCATCTTATTCTACTTTGTCCCACTCTTTTATTCACTCTTCACTTAAATTAGTTACTAATTTAGCATGCTGTATGCTTTTTACATTCTTTTGTATTCAATTCATCTGCATTCCACATTAATTCATTTTTACCACTTCCTATTTTAACAAACACACACCTGGAATTCATTCCTGTGCATTCAACTTGTTTTTTTCTTTCTCCTGATATAAGCCAACTCTTCATATAACAAAGAGGCAGAAGTACCCCCTTTAACACAGTCCTTTTTGTTTGCTTGACAAACAATCCTTGCAATGGATCATAAAGTACCTATTCCCTTTCTATGATCCAATTGAACTATCCTTGAATTTTTTTCATGAAGTTTTCTATTTTTAGTCAATATTGAAATATACATTTTAATCAGCTTACTCTAGCTCAGGGGTATCAAACTCAAGGCCTGTGGGCCGGATCCAGCCCGCAGGGTGCTTAGATGTGGCCCATGGGGCCAGCTTGAAAACAGCAAAGGACCAGCCCACAGTGCCTTTGCCAGCAAAAATGGAACTGGGGGCTGTGCCTGATCCCCCTGCAGCCTGTTTTTGGCTGCAACAGCCTCCTGCAGCCCTCTGCCGGTGAAAAAAAGGAAGGAGAAGGAAGACGGAAGGAAAAAGAGGAAGGAAGGAAGGAAGGAAGGGAAGGAGATAAGGAAGGAGATTATAATGAGAGTGAGGGAGGGTCTTAGTGAAGTCTTGCCTTAGCATTTGGCCATCACAGGTGCCTATAACATGAGAGATGTGCTGGCCACGCCCACCCCTGGCCCTCCAAGGTCAGTCACAACCCTGATGTGGCCCTCAATGAAATTTGAGTTTGATGGGGTGCTCTAGCTGTTTGGTACTTATATATAACTTCCAATTCACTCCATTTTTCCTATCAATCATACTATCTTGGTCTTTTGAGACATTAATTTTCAGATTCATACTTCTTGCTGCAGCATACAGTCCAATATCTGCTTCAAATCACCAGCATAGCATCATTTGTGCACAAATTCCTGTCCAAACCAAACACACCTGCGGCCTCACCACAAGCATTTCTCCATAAATTATAAACAAACAAGGGAATATGAATATTTTGAGGGGCTGTCACAGAGAGGAGGGAGACAACCTATTTTCCAAAGCACCCGAAGGCCAGACGAGGAACAATGGATGGAAACTGATCAAGGAGAGATTCAACCTAGAACTAAGAAGAAATTTCCTAACAGAACAATTAACCAATGGAACAGTTGTGGGTGCTTCATCAATGGAGACTTTCAAGAAGAGACTGGACAGCCACTTTTCAGAAATGGTATAGGGTCTCCTGCTTGAGCAGGGGGTTGGACTAGATGACCTACAAGGTCCCTTCCAACTCTGTTATTCTGTAAACATAATGCTTGACTTATTCCATGCATAATGTTGAATTATTTGCTAAGCAAACCCCCTTGTCTATTTGTTTCCACCAAGTATGTTCAGGTAGGGCAAGTGTGCTTTAGGTCCCTTCAATTAAACATCGTTTTGGGAACCAATGAATTGTGCCTTCTGTATTGTTCCCCCTACCTTCTGGAACAACATCCATCAGAGATGCATACAGTATCCACTCTCTTGTGGTTCCAGGAGCCCTTATGATCTGGATCTATTCAGGCTTGAAGATAGTGTATTATGTTTTTATTGTTAGGTTTGTTTTTGAACTGGGCTGATCCGTTTGATTTTAAGCTTTTAAGCTTTTAACTGTTTTAATTTTATAATTGGGTATTAAAAGTCACTCACACTTTTGAGTTACATTTGTTATATATGCATACGTATACATACACAAACACACACACATTCAAGTGCCTAGGGTATATGACTTTGTAAAATTATTATGAGTAGCACAAGATATTTAAGACTGTTGAAGAATGTTTAGCTTTAAATATGCAAACATTAAAGTTAAGAGGCCTGGCCTGGTTGCATCTTAATATTAGAATGATTAGAATGAGAAAGGAATAAGCCCTAATAAAAAACAAGGTAGTTCTTCAGAACGTGGAAAGGTAAATCTAGCAGAAATAAGAGCATTAAGTAAGACTGATGTTAAGAGAGGTGGAAATTTTTAAAGAAGACATTGCAGAACATTGAGAGAGAGGATGTTTGATCACTTAACCAGTTTCAGATACCCTCAGACCCTAATTTTCACCTTAAACCAGGAGTTTGCACTGATTTTACCTCAACTTTCTTATGATGTATCTTTCTCCATCCCTTCTTTTTATATTAGCTTTCTCCATTTAATATAATATGTGGTTGCTGGGCATGATTGCACAAGAAGGAAACCTAACTATATTCACAGATTAATGAAAAATAAAAGTCCCAAAGTGAAAATTAAACAAAACAACCCTTTTAATAGAATTGTAAAAAAAAGGTACTAGTTTCAACCAAAAGTTAGGTCTTTATTGAGGGCATATACATTCTAAACTGTCTAAATCTTTATCTTGAAATAAATTAAAAAGCAACTATCAGTCAGCAATGGAAAAAAGTTATAAAACTGCAATGAAAAAATTCAAACATAAATTATGTATACTTACATTACTAGCACGATACAAACACTATATGCATTAGGCTTGCTCTGTAGATAGGACGACAGTTAAATATATTTCCATCAGAGAACACAGCTGTTGCTATTTCATTAAAACATGGCTTCCAGCCAGTTAACTTCAGAGTGGTTTAGGCAATAGTATTAACAAGAGCTCTCTTACAAAAATCAGCAAAAAAAAATTTCACACCTTCTGTTGGATCTACGTTTCTGCATTCAGTATAATTCTTAAGAGGTACACAACTGGATCCATATTTGTCCTATCTTTCTCCCATGAATGAGGAAAAAGTGATTTCAGGATCCAACCAGATTTTGCTTTACTAGGAATTGCTTTGGATTCTGAAATGAATTTTTTTCCCCTATTGATAGATCTGTGACCCTCTATGGAAGCAAAAATTGAACTTCAAGAAGTGGGATAGGAAGATTATCTATGCTTTGAATTTTGGCATTGGAGCCTTCTGTGAATAGCCAAGAAAACAAACTGATGGCTTATTGAGCAAATTAATACATAGTTGTCACTTGAGGCACAAACTGATACACTATATGAAGACCCACTCTGAAAAAGGCTATAACACTAGGAAAGAAAGAAAAGAAAGAAAAAGAAGACAAGGTGGATAGGCCAACAAGAGGGGATGAGTGCACCATTGGGAGACATGAAAGAAAAGGTTAGTGATAGATCTGTTTGGAGAATCTATCTGTGTGGTCTTTTATCCATGTGGCCGTTAAGAGTTGAAAATGACTTGATGGTACATAATCTCAGTGCCTTAAAAATAACTTGGGACTTTGGTTCTTTCTTGATCAGTCCTCTTAATTTACAGTGATTTGTAAAAGTACAATTTTTGCAAGTCAATTGCCAGACCTTTTGCATTATTACCTTTTACATAACATTGTTTCATTATTCTATTGAAATATATTTGATTGCATACAGTTTGCAAATAATTTCTCTCCAGCCCAATTTTCTTTCAATCCCACTTGTCCTCTGCACAGCAAAATAATATCACTTGTGGTGATGATATTCAGAGTGATGATAATGTGTTTTACTTAGCAAGTAAGCAATGTGTTGAGTTTTTAAAAAATCATCTGCACACAAGTTTTTTATGGTATGGGGAAATCCAGAGATTCTGATTTGTTCAAAACAAAACAAAGATTACTAAAACAAACCATGGCTTTTCTCCAGGAGGAGAAAACAAACCAGAAACACTTTTCTCCAGTGTTCCTGGTTTGCATAATATATAAACTATTGATAGCTTGTTTAGTCACAGATTAATTGTTCACATATAAGCAGAGGCTGCTTAATGTTAGCATTTCTTTAACCCATGATTTAGCAAGGTGGCTGAGGATCACATTATCTCTGTATGTAGGGGCCCAATCAAGTTCCAATTAATGATAGAAATGAAATAAGGCTCATGCTAATCTTGATAAAACATTTTAGTACCAAAGGG